CTACGCTTTCTGTAAACAAATATTCTACATGTCGCCGGAACAATAGGCAACAACAAAAAAATTAATTTACCGTTTCCACGAGCCGGAACAGTCACGTCAAAATCCCTCTTTAATGAGAAAACAGAAGTTTACTTACCACAACTGTAAAACGGTGGGAGTTTGTGCAATAATCACCAATCACCAGAAACAACAGGGAAACTCGAAAATCAACAAGACGGGCTTCGCAAGCCTCATACCGTCCCCGCACGTAATTAGTCTTACTTAATTGGTTTCCCAGACAAATTATTGAATAATAAACGGTATATTTAGTTAATTAAAATTTTTTTACCATCACTTGCCTGCATACAAATGGCCAGTATATTAATTAAGTGTTTATTTGCCGTGTTTTCTTTTATTACTTGTTTGAAATTTGAAATATTTCTTTAATAAAACGTGCTTGATACTTAAATGTTCGCTCATTAATGTCGCTGTAAATTATACTGTAAAATAAAACTAAATTATCATTTTTCTATTGGCTTTCTAATGTTCTTTGTTTTTTTATATATATGTATAGTTATTTATTTCGTATAACGTGAAAATGAGTAAATTATTTAGATAAATATCAATGTGGAATACTAACTTTTAAACTTTCGCGTTTCATATTTACAACATAAATAATTATTTATAAATAATTATATAAATACCTTGGTTTGACGTTTCGACCTGTGCAGCCAGGTCGAAACATCAAGTTTACCAAGCTACACAAGCAGACTGAAAATGCGATGTTACAGATGCGATGCGTCTTCTGCTGCGGGCGATGAATCTTCATCTACCCCCTTATTAACCGACTTCAAAAAGGAGGAGGTTAGGTTAGGTGTAGAACCGACAGAGCAACAAATCAGCGACAGCAGAACACCTGCTCCAGGCTGGTTCCAATCACTGGATAGAATTCCACCGACCGCAAATTCTCTCCACTAATCGCCACTACCATACAAGACTTGTGCGTGAAGCGGTTGAAATAAGAAATGCCCAAATAATTTCAATCGGGAGGACGGCTTTAAATTGTCGTCGACGTGGAATCCTGTGGCAACAACACAACAATTCGACAATCTCGCTTTTCTTCAAAGTCGGTTAACACATTTCTGGATACGGTCAGCGTAGTGTGTAGACGGCCTAATATGGTAGAAACTGAAAATAAGGGAGTAGATGTCACATCTTCAGTCTGCTTGTGACCACGACCTGTGCAACCAGGTTGAAACGTCAAGCCTACCAAGGTATTTAGATAATTATTTTCGCGTTAATACCCGCGTAATTTATGTTGTTAACATCATTGTGAAATTTTACCAAAAACAAGTTTGGTGTTTTTTCGGGTCTGACTTTATTAACTAATTAGATGGAAAAAAAATATGAAGTATGGATTAAGTAGGTACCTACTTACTAATTCCTCCAACATATACAATACATATTCCGCACATACACATGTTTACTTATATCTCTGTTTATATGTTATACGGAAGAAATAACAAGCTACACAGCTAACTTTCGGCAACATTTGATTTGATTCCAGTTCCAAAGTAATTGGGTATGTAGTCCCATTTAATCCACTAATGTTCAAACTTCGTAAAAACAAAACAAAGTTTCGTGGGCAGTGTTTGTACCTATGTTAACAAATTAAACCTATATTAGGTAACCCGAATACTGACCGACTTGTTACTCTTTGTATTAATGGGTGCCAATATTACCCATTGGTCATCAAATGACCTCTACCGCCCAGGATAAGGCGTGAAAGAGTGTCAGACTCTTACTGACTAACCTGCCCCCTCCCCTCCCCGTTCCTTCTCCTACTCTGGGCCGAGGTCGCGGTGACTCATTGCGCTTACCCCGCAACCCCGGCCGATTGGTACTAATACTCATATATTTAACTGATATATTTTCATATTAAACTAGCTTCCACGCGCCGCTCCGACCGCGTGGTATGTTGATAAAAAGTAGCCTATCTGTTAGTCCAAGATGTTACCTATGTAAACACCAAATTTCAACCAAATCGGTATAGCAATGTTTGCGTAAAATAATAAATAACATACATACACACATTCTCACAATCTTTCACATTTATAATATTAGTAGGATAGTCGAATGTATAATAGCCAAATCTTCTGGCAGGTAAATTATTGAGTTTATGTTATCACAAGGTGGAAAATCATTATTTATACCCCTCGCCTAAGGGAGACAAAGAAGACTATTAGACGCATCCTCTAATCCCTTTGTCACTAATCCCCAATTTGTCTATCTCCAAAAGAATAACAATAAACTCTCAAGTCTTGTGGTTATAGGTGACGCTATTGTTTACCATCAGATTAGAAGTTTGCTGCCTTATGCCATAAAAAAAATCTGTTTAAAATGTTAAATTAATAGAAAATTACTTCCATAATTCTCTTAGTTTGGCTTAAGGTAGCATAAATTAAGTATTTTATTTGTTATGGCGTCGCTGTTTTAGCGTAGGTGTGTGATGTAAAAGTCCTACGCAGTATGGTGGCAAATGTCTTTACTACGTCGTAGCACCAATTTTAGACACTACTTAGGTAATTATGAAAATCGTAGAAACCTGCTAATAGTAGAGCGTAGGCAAGAGTGGCCGGTAATCTAATTCTTTAATTGCTACGACTCCGTAACGTAGCCTATAGCTTGACTACGAGGGCATTTGCTACGCCGTAGTAAGTGCAATGTAGTGGGTGTTTTTATTTGTTTTTGTAAACATTAAAAGTATAAATGCTTTTACTATTTCTATTCCTAATAACAATTCTTAGATCTCCTACTCCTACATCTAAATATTGTTTATTATTAGATCCAATGGAACATTATGCAAATCAGACAATTTCAAAGCCTTTTCAACTACGTACTTAAATAAATGATATACGTTTGCTAAGATAAAATAATCAAGGCTAAGTTAAAATGAAGTTCTGAGAAGTGTTGTATCCGAAGTTTGCAGTCGTATCATTATGAGATCTGTATTTAGTTGCTAGAGTTTACGGCTCAAGTACTTGAAGTCTGTTTACATTAAATTCTTGAAAATACCTTAGAGAGAATATTTGAATTGAATTTACATAAGTAGAGTTCTATTCTTTATTTTGGAAATTGGGAGGAATGAAAGACGTGAATATTTATAGATAGGTACCTACTTACTTACTTAATAGGTTTTTAGGTTAAGTTTATAGAATCGAGTTTAATTTAAAGGTAACTAAATTCATTTGCAATTTGAAAAGTAATAAGGTCTTGTAAATAAATACATAATATACGACTGAAAATCTAAACTTTCCTACCTAATTATTTATCCCTGCACATATGTATACCTACGTACGGACTTATACAGCGTAGGTAGGTACTTGTAAGTAACTTCAGAACCGAGCTACAGCTCGTAAGGGGTTCTGAAGTTCTGCTTTGTTATCGTAACAATGATTATGAAAAACTAAACAGAAAGTTCATGTATCTACCTAAGTAAATACCCACCTACACAGTTCTTCAAGTAGCATATCTGACTGACTAATAACCTGTCTCCGTTCTAAAACAGGAGAAGGAACGGGGGTTTTTAGTCAGTAAGAGTCTAACACTCCCTTTCGCCTCAGCCTGGGCGTAGATGTCATTTGATGATTTGATTCCCCTGACAAAAAATAACATGACTACGTTGTAAACATTACTGTTCAATCTACTTTTGAAATTATTATAAAAGTAGGGACGCAAATACCGAACTTAACTAAACGCAATATGTTGCACATTAGCGACAGCTTCAATCCCTTGCTAGACAAGTACATGACTCGACGTTAAGATGCTGCTTGACTTTTGCTCGTAGACATTCGACTAAAGGAGCAGCCCACACAGATACAATACGTATATATCTATCTATGTATGTAGCAATAGGTATATGTAGGTACCTACTTATAGCGAAAGAGGTAGGACTCGACGGAAAAGTTTTAGCGCTCAACTTTTTCCAATAAGTAGTCTCGATTGTTGTTGAACTATCAAGTGACATGTGACTCGGCTACTAGAGGCAAAATGATCCAATTTTATCGTTGGATTTTCAAAAGATGAAAGTTTTTTAAGAGTCATTATTTAATATTAGGTATTAGAGCTAGGAGTACAATAATTCAAGATGAGTGGCAATAAGCCTAGGAGGACTAGAATTAATGCAGGTAGGTACGTTAAAAAAAATATGTGGTTTCCGTTGTTCATACATTTAGGTAGGTAGGTACCATTCCAGAAAGATATCGGTTTAAGTGAAGAGTAAAATGTCCCTCATTTCAATCATCACGGAAGAGAAATTGCCAAAAACATTAAATGCAGACCTTTTGAGCGCGGTACGACTATGGCCTCTCACTATCTTATAATCCGGTAGATGGCGCTGACAGTGAAAGTTATAATAAATTACCCAGTCACCAAGTAACATATGTATACCTAAGAATAATAGATAAATAACTCTTGGACACTCACTCGCCCAGAGTCCACGTAAATTTGATACCAGCGCCGTGGACTCGCCTAGCGAGTTCAACATGACAACAACAATATGTAGGTAATGTAGGTCTGAGAAATTGGCGGCATCCGAGATATCATTGTGAAAATCGTAGTGGTAATGAAAGTGTCAAGCATACAAGTAGCATAGAATTATCCTACCTAAGGAGATCCCAACAGTAAAAATAAAAAGTCTGTCTATCTCGCCTGATGTTAAGCTATGATACATTACAATGGAGCAGGCCTACCCATAAGCAAGAAGCAACCTCGGGGCACAAAATTCTGGCTACAGTCTTCTGGCTCTGGCAAAAAATCTCACTCGTCAGGGCTGTATGTGGATGAGACCACCAACAATTAATCTTTTGGAGACATAATACTAAACGAGATATCGTGTAAGAGGAAAGTATATATTCAAACCCTAATATTAATCATATATTAAGAATTACTACGTTTTTGTTAGTCTACAAATATCTCAACATAGAGCCAAACTACAATTAAGTACAAAAAAATAAAACAAGTATAGATTTTTGAATCAATTCATGTATTAAACCTAAATTCACCAAATCACAATTCATTCATAGTTAAATAATTTGTAAACTTTACATCAAACATAACTCGCATAATTGCACATTCATTACTTCTCACGATTCTTAATGAACAAGTAAAACAATGCATGGTTTATGACAACAGTCGACGGATTTATTTCACTGGTGGTTGCGATAACTAGAGGTCGAAAGGCACTGGTTTGTGTTAAGCGTCAAATATAACTAAGTTATTTATCGACTAAACCAAGTGTATAATATTCGTGGACACATTTGCTCGTCCATAAATCACGCATATCAAGTGTTCAAAACATAGTTGCATTGTGTATATTCCTAGCAATCTACTACATCTTCGCTGTGCAGTGTTACATACTAACTTAGGCTAGAGGTAGGCTTCATTCCCATTATAAAATCAATTCCTATCTCTTAACCTACAAGGTGTCGTAAATCTAATTTGTACCATGAAATGCAAGTTGACTATAATATTGTCTAACATGAGCAGTATATTTAACAAATGTCCAATTCAGAACATAGCTACATTATCTACTTCATTATTTTCAAAATTTACTAAGTTCCAAATTTAATTTAAAATATTTGTATACCAATTATACATTTCAACTAAACAACGAATTTAATTATCTCAATTGACAACATTTATAATCTTGAACACACAAGAATAGTTTTTTTTTTGTAAATTACAAACCATTGTCATAAACTTAGCAAATCTGAAAATACACAATGGAAGGAACATTAATAAATCTAAATCATAAAGGAATATGTAAGTAATACTAAACTATATATCTAAGTATATCTAGACAAACAAAATCACTGGATTTCTAATAAATCACTGCTCTAAGAGTAAGTTAAAACATTCCAATCCAAACAGATCCTTCCAGAAAGGATAATTAGAGATAATAAATCTCACATGTCCAAATCAAATATGAGATCATTTTTGAACATAACTTCTAAGTATTTCCCTTTGTTTAACTTATCGGGATCATAGAGGTCGGTATTATGTTGGATATTATCACAAGTAACTGGTTCTCGCTTCACTGGGGAACGTTTTGATGGCTCTGACTCCCAAATGTCGGCTTGTTTTTTATCAGTTCCATTTTCAATTTTACCAACTATATTGAAGACAGACTTATTATTATCGAATGATGCTTCTCCGTTGTTGTTGTTTTCACTGAAGCCGTCGTCATTAGCAGAATTGAAGTCTCCATCGTCAGGAGTGTTCTTGCACTCGGATTCAGCATCAGACGTGTCCGCCAAACCGCTGTCACGACGAGGTTTCAATACTGATTTCAGTCTTGGCTGAAAAATAACAATTTTCTGTTTAAAAATGACGTTTTTCGAATAACATTATTTGTTTAAAGATTGCAGAAGTTGTAGGCATTTTAAGACGATGGTATGTGCCGCTCATAATTGAAGACTGACATCAAAAAACAATACAGTCAAGAAGGATTTATTACGGTTTGGAATTCATAACAGACTGATGTATGTGCATTAAACTGTGTCACTTGATACCAATCGAGACGATACCCGATATACGTGCTGTGTGCATCACGTAACGACGTCAGCATTCAAAAATTTTCATGAATATATCTGTGATGTATTGATATTTGACGCTCTTTGATTTGATAGTATAAAGATTGCTTTTCAATAATATTGACAACCCAAAAACGGAACTTTCATTAGCATTGCCTAGTAAAATAAATACTATACACACAACAGTATATATTTCCATACATTAGCAAATAATTACCGATCATGTGATAAATACTTAAGTAATCGATTTGGACAAACATATTATAGGAAATGTACCTAACTAGACAGTTGTAGATAGGTTTTATGTATAGGTGACTTTTTACATAATATGATAATATGCATTTTGTGTTCATCATTTTTATTTATAATAATTATTGGCATGCATATTAATGTTTATTATTCGCTAAAAACTGTAAATCATAAATAACAAATGTGTTTTTTTATAACGGAAACTCGTTGCAATTCTTTAGGTTGAACTCTTCGGATTTATAACTTGAACGTAAATACTTAGATGCTAAAATATAACTGTTAAATAAGCCGGAAAATGAAACGATCTGCGACATGATTTTTCAGACATCAGTCTCGGTGTGGTGCCGTTGCACAAACCGTTACGAGTTACAAGAAAAAAACTTATTGGAATGTTTTTCTCTAGAAGTTTTAAAAAAACCTAATCTATGTTTACGCGAACGAGGTCGCTAAAGAATAAATAAAAGCCTTGTACGTTGTTTCGATCTGCGCATACTTAAAATATAATTGGGCTTGTGGCGCGACTGTAAGCAACAATTCGATTTTCGTGTACATACCCTATGTGTAGGTGAAGGTACAAATAGGTCTTATATATTTTCGGGATTGTTATTGAATAAGAATTATATAGAACAGCGCTATGCTAAACTGGACTCGCCCTCTGTTAGGTACATGTGACCAATAACTACTGAGGAATTATTTGGATGAATTTGTTTCAAAATTACCTGGGAGGAGTTACTGATCTCATCTTCAGCTTCACTTTCACTCTTCCTCCTATCTTGACTGCGCTTTTTACTCTTTTTACGTTGATTCTTCTTTTTCTGACCTTCTATAGACGAATTGTATCTGAAATTAATAAAAATGTACACATTAACTTACATTCTGTGGAAAATTATGTTGTTTACTTAGTTACTAGCATTATGTAGGTATTATCTTATCTAACTCCAAAGGATATCCATAACATGTGATATGGCTGATAGCTAGAGCTTGTGGTATAAGCCAAAACAATATATTTTTTACACATAATACATATATCTTCATCAATGCCAATATTTTAGGTACTTTAGATAATTACAATAACAAAACATAATGTGTGTAATCATCATTGATTTCTCTGTTTTGTTATTAAAACAGGCAGAACTTCAGCATGATAACCCACATTGATAAGAAATTTGCTAGACTATCAACATAATATTATTATTTTAAATTTGTACTAACCTGTAAAATTGTCTTGCAATAACATCATTAAATCTAACAGTCTTTTTTAAACTTGATTCTTCAGGGATGCAATCAGAACTGATATAATCCATAGAGGAAGCAACATCACCTACACTGGATTCAGAGAAGCTCCTCATCATGTTAGGTTTGCGAAGTATGCTTTTAGCACCACTCTCACAACTGCCAGACTCCGTGAACACTGAATCTCTATATTCTGAAGTTGGGGACTCAAAGTCATCATCTTCATCATACTCTAAGTGATTAGATGACACCACAATGTTTGTTTCAGTACCCAAGTTGGTAACCTCGACAACAGGGGTAACAACTTCAGCCTCAGATTCCTTAGGCTTTTCATCAACTTTAGTTGTTTTAACCTGAGTCACATCAAAGCTTTCACAGGTCATTGAATCCTTGTCTAAACCAATGTGGAACTTCTGAGGCACAGCCCCAGACAGTTCCAACTGTAAAATGACATTGTTATCCCAAGCCTCCCCAGTCACATTTTCAAATTTAACTTCCTCCTCAAAAGTAATGATAGCTGCATAGTGTACAGGCACAAATCCAGCACCAACAGATGTGAACTTGATGCATATTTCATTACCACTATTTTTAACATTGACAGAGTCTGGCTCTGTATTTTTCACATGGAATGTTAAGGCTATAATGTCATCCAGAACATTATGAGTGTAAGGAGGCAGGATATATGCTAGAGAAGGATCTAAAAATAATTCAGGGGTACTGGCATTTACAGTACAAGGCTCTGATGGTATTACAGAGTCAGCAGAGGTTGATGACAACTCTACAATGAGATTTGAATGGGATGAATTATCTTCATCACTTTGAGAACCTGAGTTCTCTTCACTTTCTACTCCACTGTCTACAACTTTCAAAGAGTTATTATTATCAAGGTTTGTGTTCCTTTTAATCACTGGTAAAGTCACTATTAACAGATGTTTTCTTATATCAAATTTAGCAGTACCACATTCATCATTCACTGAGTAAGGTAATGTAATATTAAGTTTGTATTTAGCTGGTTTCTCTGAGATCAAGCTGAGTTGCTTTTCCTGAACATCCAAAGTGCAGTCTTTGGTAGATGAAAGAAGTGGAAGGGATACTTCCACTACTATCTGACTTGGAATAGCACTATACTGTTTGCAATCTTTATTATAGGTGAAATCCTGAAGATCCACATTTTTCTGCTGTTTGATGACATACTTTGGAACTGTATACCCATTTTCAGAGACATGTGTAAACTCATTATTTCTCCTGGTTTTCCTAACTGGTTTGGGTTTGTCTTTTGGTACTTCTGTCTCTTGTTTATTTTCTGTATAGTTGCGTTGAGGATACAGCTTCTCAATCATCTCAGGTGTCAAACTTTCCGTTTCTTCTTCTGTTAGAGGTTGATAGTTAGGGTCCTCTTTCCTAATGACAGCAGCACTGCTGACTCCCTTATATTGAGACTTGGGAAACCGTAAGTTGTTACTGTCCAAGTGAATGTTGTAAGTTTTCGCCAACCCATCCATGGCAGTTTTGTTTACTAGCTCGCGGAATTCTTTATTTACGCCCGCCATGCGGAGAGTATCCGGATGGAAAATTACGTCGTAAATGACGCAACGTTGCCTCTTGAGGTCGTAATCTTCTCGCGGCGGTATTAGCGAGTATGGTATTTGCCAGTTCATTCCCCTCTTCCCATTGACTACTTCCACTTTGTATGTGGGTTTGCCGACGTTCTCATTACTGCAAATGTTGATGAAAGCTTTTATGTCGCCGGCGACACTTGTTTTGATAACATAACCTCCCTTTGGATTAAGAAACGTTACATCGTAACCTCGTTCCTTCTCCAGTTGGGTCATTTCTTTCTGATAAAGTTCGAGGTTCGCCGGGTCACGTATCTCTTCACAATATTCCGCTAGGAGATCTCGAAATTTCTTAGTTTTCATAGCGTCTTGTATAGTCTCCAAATCTTCTCGAGTAAGTCGGGATTCATCATCACGAGGCGCTACTCCCGTTGCCATTTTGATTACTGTTTCTTTACTGGTTTATAAATAAACACAAAATACGCATTCGCAAATTTATTTTCAGCTGACGATTGACGAATGATAAGAAGCAATGTTGTTCGGCCAAAAAATGGTTTCGGAATAACTCAATAACCACAGACTATAATAAGACACCAGTGTAAGACACCGATTCAAAAAAGTAAAAGCTCTGTACACGTGTGCGAATCGGAGAGCTTAGATATTTTTTTATCGCTCCTATGTTTCCACATATTATAAGGAAAACGAAATCTTGTTGGATTTCTTCTAATGTGCTGTAAAAATATATAGTAATCAACCAATGCGATTCTAACAAGTGTTAAAAATAGTTAGGTAAAACCTACATCAACTATTTTTAGATTATTACATGGTGGTGAATGTTGTCTATTGTTATTTAAACTCCCAAAAATATGCCGAAATAATAATTTTTTGCTAGTACAACAGAATTAGACACAGGTTTTTATCTTGCGTCGCAAATAATTGTACCTCAACTACTATAATTAAGCACTTTTGAAACAAAAAAACAAACTTGTCATTGAAATTAAATAAATATATTTTATACCATTCCTACCATTTAATTTTGTCCTTTCAGATATTAAAATACATGTCATGATTTTGGCTAACAGCAGACTAACAAAGAATAGTAGACCTAACCGTAAATGCTACTTATTTGTACAAATAACAATGTATGATCTAGTAAATAGGATCTTTATTAGTGGACCTTTATTAGCACGAAACCTGTATATTGGCTGACAGGACAGGACACTAGCCTAAGTTTTGTCTATTATTCTTTATACGTCTGTGTAACTAAAGAAGATAATAAAATGATTACTTCTATGTTACACATCGATGCTTCCGACAACAAAGGTCGTAAACAACCCTCTTTAGGGTATATATGTTCAGTGGTCGTAAACACCAAAAAAAAAATTTTAAAAAAATAAAAAAACCGCCTTCCAAAAAAGTCAAGCAATAAAAGTTCCTACACTAAAAAGTAAAAAATAACAATTTGAATTACTGTAAAAAAACTTAGTTTATAGGTAAACTTATTTGACATTAATATTTTGCAAATATTCAAAATTTATTACTTATTTTTGGAGTCGGTGCCAGCATTTTAATGTTGAAACTTAATGTTAGTTAGCTTTTTAATATCCGGTGCCATTTTTCGTACATAATGCTTAAACATTTTCAATGTACTTAAAATGTTTTTGTAAGTATATATTTTTTATTTAAAAAAAATGTGCAAATCGGACATTTTTTGTAGAGAAGTCTAATCTGTATTTATGTCTTAATTAATATACCTATATTTGAGTATGCAAATAGGTATTAAGTAGTTTTATAATTAAGTAAGAGGTAGTTTTTCAAGGGATTGTTGCCCATTTGTATTTCCTTGCATGGGCTGGCACCGACTCCAAAAATAAGTAATAAATTTTGAATATTATTATAATTATTATAATATAAAAAAAATTTTGCAAATCCGTCCATAAACGACGGAGTTCTGAGGTAACAAACATAAAAAAAAAAATAAAAAAAAAAAAAAAATACAATCGAATTGAGAACCTCCTCCTTTTTTTGAAGTCGGTTAAAAATAGCACTTTTGGTAATCAACGAAAAACAAAAAATAATTTCGTTTTTGGCTTATATCTTTTTAACTTTAAAAGTTGTAAAATTGTGGTCTATACAAGAAATACGTAAAATTCGATGGTGTTTCATAATATATTACTGCTATTTATGTCAAAGCCTTATTTTAAAAGATAGCTTGGACATACACCCCAGAAAATTCAAGAAGTTGGTATTTACGACCACTAACAAATCAATGGAGAACGATTTGTCTAACGGAAGCTAGAAGTATGCACCAGTTTTTAAATACAATAGTTCTGGGTTTGGTTTTAAAAACCATATACTGAAATAAAAATGAGTGTAAACACCACGATCTGATGCGATGGTATGTAACAAACTCAGAATACAGAACAAACCAGAAGGCGTCATCGCGCTTCAAACTAAAGCAACTAAAACCATTCTCAACTAGAATAGTATGAAATTTCTACGATTAGTCAATTTTGGCACGTCTCATGTCGTGACGTATTTACTTGTATCAATTTTAATTTCATTATGCCGTCTTGTGTTATTACTACGAGTAAAAATGCGGCTGGAATTACGAAAAAAGTGGATAAGATTACATTTCATCTGCAAGCATCGACTGCAATAGTATATTTAATTAATTATTGAATTTTTTTTATCGATTTATTTTTCTATGAAAATGATGCGGCCATTTTGTGAGTGTTGTCATTTTTGGTGAAAATTTTACCCACTTATTTATTTGTTGTGGGTTATATTTTTGTCCATTATGGAGACTATGTCATATTAGTTTCCCTGACAAAAAAATAAATACAAATCATACAAAGGGCACGGTTAGATTAATTTTGGAAACCATCTAGCCAGAGCATAGTTTGCTCAATTCACTTTGAAGAGATATATTTATGACAAAGGTGGTTTGAAAACAGCATATCCTACTAAGATATATCTATACTAATTATAATGCTGAAGAGTTTATGTGTTTGCTAGAATGCGCTAATCTCAGGAACTAAGTAAAGTAAGTAGACTTCTAATCTTTAGTTCGGAGTCTAAAGACAATACATATAAAAAACTAAACCAGCAAAAGGGAACGCAATAAAACCTTTGTACTTATTGAAGCTTTATTTTATTTGTTGTGTATAGTAGGTGTAACTAAAATTAACAAATCCAGAAATCGACAACTTTTATGATACCTCTATGAAATGTGTGAACAACTAGTCTGTTGCATTTATCGAAGTTTACCTATTTTGTTGGGTTTACTCGTATCTTACCCTCCTGTTGTAAAATTACCCCAAACCAAGGGAATTGTTCCACTGTCGGCAAGACTACGCGGGTGGGAAGTGCGGCTGGCGGGGGGATTGACGTATTGTTTTTGGACACATTTGACGACATGTAATTATGAGTGAACGCGGCTTCTGGTTTGTTCTGTATTCTGAGGTAACAAACATGGAAATATCTGAAGCGAAAGTCTATAGTCTTTTCGACTGGCAGGTCCTAAAGGTATAAAAATACACTTAAGTAAGTATATTATAGGCATCTTCCCGTATATAATTTAATCAAGCGTTTGTTACAAGATGCCTATAGTGTTCTACCTCCTACGACGTACCTAACCAGCCAGACATAATTCAAAATGTTATTTTATAATCACGACATTTTTTTAAAATTTATTGATAATGAATCACAAAAAAATATAAGTAAATATTCTACCAAGCTATTAAAATGATTAGAACAGTAATGCTCTAATAATTTTAATAAACAATGTCCATTTTCACCAACGCCCTTAAAAATTTAGGTAGTTCATCTTTCTAGATCTTGTTTGTTCGGAAAGCTTCTGTATTATGATCTAAACCTAACTTTTAGTGTCGTTGGTGAAAATGGAAAAGTGTTATCGACAAGATATTAAAAAAGTAGATGCAAAACATAATACGACGACGAGTTATAGAAAATCAGGTCTTCAAATTTCTGATTGATAATCTTCTGTCATTGGATAGAAGATTATTAACCAGAAATTTGAAGACCTGATTATCTGATAGAAGATAGTTAATCAGAAATTTCATCTTCCTCGTCAGTCTCAGGAAGAGTATCAATGACAATATGAGACTGACCCTATTAAAAAAATTAGGAGTACGCTGTACGTTTAAGTGTGGGAGAGCCATGCTTCGGCACGAATGGGTCGGCCCGACCGGAGTGATACCACGGCCTCACAGAAAACCGGCGTGAAATAACCACTGCGTTGTGTTTCGCCGTGTGAGTGAGGTTACCGGAGGCTCAATCCTTCCCCTTCCCCAATCCCTAAATCTCCAAATCCCTTATCCCTAAAAGGTCGGCAACGCACTCGTAACTCCTCCGTTGCGAGTGTCCATGGGCGGCGCTGATTGCTTACCATCAGGTAATCAGTCTGCTCGTTTGCCGACCTATTACATAAAAAAAACGACCTACATAATTCATTTTTCAAACAAATTCTCCAAGACCAAGTGACATTACGACAATTGTTTCTCAGCAGAGCTTACGTTTTAAAAATGATTGTGGGGTGTAATTACAATTAATTGTGTATTCATGTTTGTACGACCGACTGCTGTTTGTACGTTGTGTTATACGACCTGCACGGTTATTCGGTTCTAAGCAATATGAGTTATACATACCCTCTTTTCAAAAAAATCTTGATTATACTAGTACAAATTTTGGGTGTAAAAGTATGTTTTTTTAGGCGAATATTTTTTTCACATTTTTAGATCGACGCAGCGCCAAAAATTAAGTAGGGCTGCATTCTTAACTCATTTTCGCCAAAATGGCGTTTACGACATTTGTTGCCGGAAGCATCGAATAAATTAAGTCCGAAATAGGTATATTATGGTGGCGAAGCGTACCCTGTAGCGTCAGAAGCCTATTGGTTCAATAAATGAAATTGCGAGTTTTGTCGTGTTCCATCATGTGACACGAAAAAAACACAGATTGTCTTGGGACAGTAAGTGGCATGAGTTCTAATGCGAGACAACACGCCATGTTACATAAGTGTGTCCATAGCCTTAGAATAATGAAACAATTTGACAACCTCCGACTGTCAGTCAGTGTCAGTGTCAACTATCCGAAGTATTTATATATACTAAAGAAACGAGCTTTCATTAACTTTCATTTATGAAATTACTTGTGAAAAGAGAAGAATTCTTATATAAAAATAACTGATATGTCACGAAATATCAATAGACTGATTGTCCAGATCATGGTTCGTCAACCACCGGCGCCGCTATGTATGTCGTTGAGGTTATATGCAAGGTGGTCACACAGATCACCCGCGAAAGTATTGTTGCCTTACAAAGAAAACCCAAATCTCAAAAAGGAAAAGGTCATTGACTTAGATCCTTCCATTATAAAAAAGTCACATGGTAGAGAAAGTGTTTTGAATGTCGAAGACGATAATGCAAAACAGCCCGAAAGGCGTAAACAATCTACTCTTCCACCAGAAAAATCAACACAAATTAAACAAAAACGCGAAGAAAATTTGAAGAAACGTAAATTCTATCTCAGCCAACAGAAAGTATTTGATGATAAAGGTGATATTATCTATGAAAAGCTGAAAGAAAGTGATGGCCGCATTAGGTATATGGAAAGAACGATTTGTGTAACTATTTGAGACATAATCCCTTTAGAATTTAGTAGAATACAATTTTTATTTTTCTTTCAGTACCCTGTTAGTAAAGCTGAAATCAAAAAAAGAAAGGTTGAGATTAGGCCAGACATTGGTAGAAGGTTGGAGACTGATCACAGATGGATTAGAGGCTAAATGTAAATTGAAATATGTCATCTTCAGTAGGACAGAAGAATTGAACAAATTAAAACCTTTTTTGCCTAAAACTGGTGTTATTTTCTATAAAGTATCTTACAAAGAAATGCAGCTCTGGTCTGATGTGGAAACAAGTCCAGGAATTTTTGGTAAGTATGTCATTATCACTTGGTAACTGATTCTGACTATTCTGAGATGGCTTTTTAAACATTCAACTGTCTTCTTTATAATTCCATATATATTCCACATTAATACAATACAATTTTGTTCACAAGTTTCATTACTTGCTATAAAATGTATTTCAATATTTCATTATGCCTATAAAATATAAAATAAAATAATAATATGTTCTATTTGTTTCTAAGGTTAATTTCATTTGCTGGTAAATGAGACACAATAGAAGATACATTGTGTCTTGCATAGATTCAGATTTATTAATCTCATGCTAAATTTCACACTGATGACTCTACAAACTGCATACATTAAGACAGTTGCTTAATTAGCCTTTGTGTAATCTTTGCAATAACAGTGCCTAAAACTTTCTGATTTCAACAATATTCATCTTCTTACTTTACAGGTGTATTTGAAACTCCGACTCCAGAAAATGTAAAGATGTTATCAAAACCTCTACCGCTTCACTTTATCTGTGATAACATAAGAGTACCCGGGAATTTGGGAGCGATCTTGCGTGTGGCTGTTGGTGCTGGCTGTGAGAAAGTTTTACTATCAAAAGGTACACTATCTAGGCATTAAAATACTTATTAATTTATTGATTTACAAAATATTTTATAAGACCAACATAGTGGAGCTATAATAGAGGAGTCACTTAGTGCTGAGAGTACCAAGAGCTCAATATTTTTGTTAAACTAAAACATTAAAATTATATATGAACATTCTATTAGACATCACATCACACTTTATCATCATATGATTTTATGATACACCATAACTAAAAATTGATTTTATATATATTTTATAATACTAGTCTTGTGGAATAAAATTCAAATGACCACAAGTGAGCTTTTATTTATTTATAAATGCTATATTATAGTGAACTAGAGGTTGCAAATAATTTGTTAATTTTATTATTTTGTAAAAATTATCTTAAATATGACTATTATTCAAATGTATCATAATTTATTCTTTCAGGTTGTGTTGATGTATGGGACCCTAAGGTCATAAGAAGTGCAGCAGGAGCTCACTTCAGACTACCAATATACCATTCCATAGACTGGAATGAAATGCCCAGTCATCTTGAAAAAAACACTTCAATATTTGTTGCTGATAGCAACACCACATCTACTAGTGAAGGTGATGGAGAAGAAATAGAAAATTTTGAAAGAAATCAGTTGCCAGTGTTGCCATATTATGGTGTTGAATTTTCCACTTTGCCACATACTACTTTAATAATTGGTGGGGAAACTGAAGGGATAAGTCAAGATAGTTATTCGTAAGTTTAATTTATTTTTTTACAACAAAATCAACATATTGTCTGCTAAGGAATTAGAGCATTAGCCCGTTATATCCTGCTACAGAGCCAGCCATTTGATACCAGACTTTTTGCTATGACTTATGATGTTGAAAAAAAATTTTAAATGTAATGAAAAATTTGCGATTTTTTCATAATCAACTGCACTTACGGCCCCTTTAAATATAACCAAGGCAATTTTTATTACCAAAAAATAAAAATAAATTAAATGTAATTCATGTATTGGTTAGTAAATTTTCATTTAAATCTTTGCTTTTTCAGGTTAGCAACAACGAAAAATGGTGTTAGATTGAATATTCCTTTACAAAGAGGTGTAGACAGTTTGAACACAGGAATGGCCACAGCAGTAATAGCATTTGAAATAAGAAAACAACTCATACAAACTTGGACAAAGGAAAAACTATCAAGGCAAATGTTGCAATCTAATTAAAACTTTATAATGTAGTTCTTAAGGTTGTTATTAGTTTGTAGTATAGTTTTAGTTGTTATGAATGAAAAATATACTATAAGTTTATATGGTTTTTTATTTAATTTGAATATGGAGATCAAAGGTTTTATCATATTTATCTTTATATTTAGCTATTATAATCTTATTCAAAATTTCTAGTATATGCAGTATGTATTGGATGATATATGTAGATTACACACTATAATGTAGTTATGCAAAATAAATTTAAATGAAATAATAAAATTAAGTAGGTAATGTAGCACTGATAGATGATAATAGAATCCAAAAGAGCGGCAAACTATGTGAAAATATAAAGGTAAAAAAAACGCTTCTCCACTATGGGATTTTCTCTAGTTTCGTGGGTGCGTCTACTAAAAATACACATCACACCCAGACCCGAAACAACAATTTGTGGATCACACAGAGTTGTTTCGAGCGGGAATCAAACCCGCGACACGTAAACCAGTGCGCGGTTAACCAGTTGCCAAGCCACCGCATCAACAGAGCAATCAAAAAGTAAAGATTTGGTTTAGTATTTATTATTTGATCGTTGTCTTGAACTTGTTCTCAAATCCGTAAGGAAATCCGAATAAACTCTCATTTCATTGTCTCTACAACAGCGCCATCTACCGTCATCATGTGGAACTTCTAAGTAAATTGTTCAGCGTGACTTCTTTCAGAGAATAAACCTTAACGTCATTGGTCATAAAGGCGGATTTCAAACACTCGCAAGAGTGCTGCTAGTGCCGTTTTGTGACGGCAGAGCCGAGTTATAATAATAACCACCCATTTTCAAACCCTGGGTGTCGTAGGCCCCAATTAATCGACTAGAAGGACTAAACATTTTTTTTTGTGTAATACCAAGCAAATAAGCACCTGGAGGTCTACTCTCTTTCTTCGAAACGAAACTTTCGGAAACGAACGAAACTCGAACGAAAGAACGTTGACGACCCTACTCTGTTTTATTTTCGGACACACATACGAACACAGATTATCTAATAAATATAGATGTGACAGTCACTTTTCTGCCTAGTTTCCGAGAGATCCGTTGTGGCGCTGTTGTAGCTATTCAGCGGTTTCAACTATAGATAGGTAGCGTTCTATAGAAAGTTATGTATATGATTAGTGATTGCAATAGTTCTATCGATATATCGATAACTAGTGATGTCTGACTTGTCGATATCTGTGCGACCTTGGTTGTTTTGGTAATTTTATTTTTATTATTGAAATTTTATTTAATGATTGAAACACAACATATTAATATCTTTATTTATTTATTCAAACATTTTTTCCTTAATCTAAAGCTTTTATATTTATTTAGTGCTTGTTTTTGAGGTTCACCCATCTTGCTTATATATTTTTCTTCCACTGCACCCTTCAAAATTTTATTAATTATATTGCACCAATTGTGTACTTGTAACCTTATTAAAAAATTTACAAAAGTGTTCATTAAATCTTTTTGATGCTCTGCACACCCTAGCCAGGAAAACCTCATTGTGCTAAAAATTATTTTTTTCAAATTGCTTTTGATCTTATTTTTAAAACAATTAACATTTAAAAAACTATGTATGAATGTTGTTACATCTCTATACAATATTAAAAGTTTTTCGCTAGGATATACCAAGTTATTATTTTTTAAAGATTTAAATTCTCTAAATTTAATATACGTATGTATGCTTTCTTCATTCTTTGTGGTGTATGTCTGCAAACAAGCATCGCATTTTACAAATTTAGACATTTTTCTACAGACATACCCAGCTGTGTATGCCGAGCAGTGAACTCTCACTTTTTCTAAAATTACCTGATCCACTAAAATGTTTTCGTTTGGACATTCCTGTACAGAGAACAAATGCTTTTCTTCCTGTGAAGAAGATGGGATTTCTTTGTTGTCTTCCATATTTTCTTTATTCTCATTTTCAAATAAACATTTTATGTTTACAATACTATTTCCTTCATCTTCTTCACAGTTGGCATATTTAGAATGTGGGCTCAGCAAATTTGTTATCAATAGTGATTTGAATGCATATATAAAAGCATTTGCGTCAGGATTCACATTTCTCGAATTGAGAGCCCTTAAACGTCCAAAGAAATTTTCTAGTGGATCTTGGTTTATACGTCTTGGATAAAAATACATGACACCATACTTATTAAATAATAATTTGGATATCTTTAAAAAACTTTCCAGGGTAGTGATCCAACCCTGCAGAGATGGTACTTTCACAAGTCGAGGCTTTCCTAACTGTAAAGCATGCTTGCTCGATGTATCAATATAATATAATGATTTCAGTTTTTTAATTGCATCAACCCAAAATGTGTGATGTGGTGAATCTTCCTTCACGGCCCTTCTAAGTTTTCCGGCTTTGGATCCACCAGGATTACCATTGACACTGTCAAATAATTTGTCAATGAATTCTACAACTTCTGCTGTTGTGGCCATTGTACTGTTACTTTCTCCACTATGTAAGCTATCTGAAAATAAAAAAGAAAATGTTCACCTTAGTTAAAATAACACGTACAACACCATACTATTCAATGTTTGTCATTATTTGTGCAGATGTTGCCCCAACCACACATAAATCCAGAATTATGCCTTTATAAACATTTTATTCTAAAGTCACATAAACATAAGCCCAGCAACTCGTAGATCATACAAATATTTGCTCTATGCGGGAATTGATCCCGCGACAGGTAGCAGGACTATGGATGGGAACTTTTTTTAGTGTGGTAAAATCATCAAATGAAAGACTCCCAACCCGGGTAGGACGCGAGGGACTGTCAGACTTTTACTGACTAAAATCCGCGGTGTCCTTCAATAGCCCTTTAAGTTCCGGGATCACCGGGATCACGGTAGTGAGATATGTCTCGCGACCCCGGTAGGCTTTGGCCCTCTAGGGGCCCTATCATCTTGCTAACACTTTTTGAGGCGCGCGTGGAACACAATGCCCCGGCGTCGCGGGCAAGGACTATGTAAATTTTGTACTCACTGACTGCATTGGTATACTTCAGCATAGCCGCCATTCTTGCACTTAGTACTTGAGCAGCTACGCTGACTTTCATTTTTTTCATTTTGCTTGGATCCACATGATGGGCTGTTAATTTCGGCAATGCTTTAGTGTGCCCCAACTTGCTGTCAATATCGAAAACAAATTCAATATCCTTCCATGATGCAGTCTTTCCTTCCCAAAGGATATCCTTGGTCATAAAATTGTTCCTTAAGCCTTTCAATAGGTGCGGAGGGTCATGGAAGACACTCATATCATACCCGCTAATGTTTACTGATCCATCTACAAAAAATAAAACACTTTATTGAATATTGTAACAAAATAAAATTAGACTGAAATTTCACATATTCTTAATCATTTGTATTTACCATCATGAATACATTGAATGTTTCTTGATTTGACTGTGTCTGCCCTCAATATTTTAAGAGCTGTTCGGAATGTTGATCCTTGATCACAAACTAGTCCTAATGGTATTAAGCCAGTTAATCCAATTTGGGACACTATTTGTTTTAAAATGTTTTGTAGCTCAGCTGCTGAGACAGTTCCTTCACAGAAGTAATATGCTATAGTCTGTCGCCAGGGAGAGCATATTCCTCTAACCATGAAGACCAATGCATGGTCAGAATACTTTAATTTCCTTTCCCCAGCTAAATCTACAAACCCAACAATTTTATCTTTCTTCTCACTAAAAGTAAGATGTGGTGTTATAGCCACTTCATCAAAAACAACTGTGCATAGTTTTTGTTGGTTATCCCAATTTTGACAGGTGCGTGATATATGTTCAAAAATTTGAGGATTCAGTCCTGGTTCCATTGACACCTTTTCAGATAAGCGTATCAATGTTCTCTTGTTCGGTAGAGCAAACATCTTTTCTAACAATCTATAGCCTTTAGGACTTTGCTTCATCAAGAGCAATGCCAACAGCTTTTCTTCTAAGCTGAATCGTCTAGCCATTTTGCTCTTTTGGACTTGTCGAAGCTGCATAAACAGAAATGTTCGAGCTTGTCTATTTAATAAATTAAATTTATGGAACAGTTGTTCTTTGTCAATGTGAAGAGCTTTTGTAAGTCTCTGTGCTGCTGACTGGCTTGAATTTTCTGTTGCTATCTGAGTAACATTTTTCATAAATTTCCTGTTACACTGTATTTTACGAACTGCAGTACCTGCAAAAAATAATATTTTTGTACTTCTTGTCAGATTTACGAATATAAAAAATATTGAATGCGACATAGTGTTCCGAAAATTACTTCCGGCACCGTTTAGCATAATTCATAATGATGACAGAAAGTGATACAGATGGACAATAATCCAATAATATAAATAAGCAATTCTAATGTTTTGGTAAAACAAAACCACTGGTAAAAAAAAGGGTTATGTATCTATAATCTGTATCTCCTACTCTTATCATAATTATGCCAAATTTCAGTGTCGGAGGTTTTTTTCGGAAAAATAAATTAGTCTGATCAACAAAAAAATCCTTGTTGATCAGACTTATATGCAAACAAACCAGGCTTTTTTTTTTAAAATTGTACTTACTTGTTCGCTTTGGTGTTTGAGCTTTACGAAGTACCACTTCAGTATTGATAGCATGACTCATACCAGAACACAATGGCTGTTCTAACATCAGATCTAAAATTAAAAACAACAAGATTGAATGGAAGTCATTTAATAAACTATTTTTAATTCCTTTTCTAGTTTTTGTGACCTACTTACCTTTGAGATCTATGTTCGATGTATCAGTTGGAAAGCTAGAACACGAAGGATGTTCAGGAAATTTTCCAATATCTGTAAATAAAATGCATTTTTTATTCATTTTTTCTGAATGACTCAGTTTGCTATTTACTACAGATTTGTCAAGGACAGTTATGCCTGTTCATCCTTGAAATTGTATCCTGGTCTGGTCTTACTCCAGACAAAAACATTTACTAGATCTTCTACAATGAACAAATATTATGTTTGGACACTCAATGATAAATGCAATAATATTAGCAGCATGTGATTAGTATAGCTGTTGGTATGTTTATAGATGTTTACATCAAAGACTTTATCTGTATGTCAACTTAT